TCCTAGGCCGGGCGTGGTGGCTCACACCTGTAATCCAGCACTTTGGGAGGCCGAGGTGGGCGGATCACGAGGTCAAGAGATCGAGACCATCCTGGCCATGATGAAACCCGGGGTTTCATCTACTAAAATACAAAAATTAGCCGGGTGTGGTGGCACGCGCCTGTAGTCCCAGCTACTCAGGAGGCTGAGACGGAAGAATCGCTTGAACCCAGGAAGTGGAGGTTGCAGTGAGCCGAGATTGCGCCACTGCACTCCAGCCTGGTGACAGAGCAAGACTCCATCTCAAAAAAAAAAAAAAAAAAAGATTGGACTCTCCTGCTGTAAGAACTGCCTAAATATAAAAATAAGCAGAGCAGCTGTGGTGGCCTCCTTGCCAGTGCCTGAACTTCACTAAGACATTCATACACTTTCTGTCACTGAACCCAAGGAACTTTTATTTTTTGTTATTTATTTTTGAGACAGAGTCTCGCTCTGTCACCCAGGCTGGAGTGCAATGGCATGATCTGGGCTCACTGTAACCTCTGCCTCCCGGGTTCAAGTGATTCTCCTGCCTCAGCCTTCTGAGTAGCTGGGATTATAGGCACGCATCACCATGCCTGGCTAATTTTTTCTTTTTATTATTATTTTTTAGAGACGGGGTCTTGCTACGTTGCCCAGGCTAGAGTGCAGTGGCTATTCACAGGCGTGATCCCACTACTGATCAGCACGGGAGTTTTGACCTGCTCTGTTTCCGACCTGGGCCGGTTCACCCCTCCTTAGGCAACCTGGTGGTCCCCCATGCCCGGGAGGTCACCATATTGATGCCAAACTTAGTGTGGGCACCCAATCGGCATAGCACACTGCAGCCCAGAACTCCTGGACTCAAGCAATTCTCCCACCTCAGCCTCCTGAGTAGCTGGGACTACAGGCATGTGCCACCGTGCTGGGCTAAGTTTTTCTATTTTTAATAGAGATGGGGTTTCACCATGTTGGCCAGGCTGGTCTGGAACTCCTAACCTCAAGTGATCCTCCTGCCTCGGCCACCCAAAGTGATGGGATTACAGGCATGAGCCACTGCACCTGGCCTGAATCTGGAGAACTTTTAGACAGGAACTTTATGAGGTGGGAACTGTACCCATTTTACAGATGAGGAAACTGAGGCTCAGAGAAGTTAGATGATGTGCCCAAAGTGGAGTCTGCACCTGTCTATACGGAATACACTCCCGGATTAGAAACTGGAATCTAACCATTGGCTATGTCCCTGTCCTCAGAGAACTCATCCACAAAACTGCCACACCTCAGCTGCACGTGTGCGTGTCGCCAATGTCCTCTCCCTGTTCCTGCATGCTCCTAGGCCCACCTCAAGAGACCACAGGAATTCTGATGAATTAATCTCATCACTTTATCGAGGAAGCACTTAAAAAAATTACAGAGCAAGGCTGCCAGCTTGGCTTTGCTGGCAGCCAGCCGCTGGGACCATAAAGCAAATTGAAAGGAACCAAAATAAATAAATAATTAGGTCTCACTCTGTCTGACACACACACACACGCACACACGCACGTGCAGACCGGCCCCCAAAGGATGAAGAGCCTGGCTGGGACTTGCCATTAGCACTTGGTCTTCTTGCCCTGGGACAGCACCAGCTCCACACACATGCACCGTGACTCTCTTGCTCTGAGCAGCAGCCAGTGGCCTTTCCTTCTCCAAAAGGCGACAGGTTAGCTGAGGAGCTGACAGCAAGGCACGGGAAACTTAGAGAGCATGTGGTGCGGACCTGCTGTTGCAGGCAGGGTGAGCTGCGAAGCCCATGGCGGGCCCCGTGAACTCCTTGCAGTGGCTCAGCAGGCTGGAGCTGACAGGCTGGATCCTAGTCCTTGCTGTCCCATACCCTGGATTCTGCTCACCTTTTTTTTTTTTTTTTTTTTTTTTTTGAGATGGTGTCTTGCTCTGTCACCCAGGCTGGAGTGCAGTGGTGTGATCTCTGATCACTACAACCTCCGCCTCCTGGGTTCAAGCAATCCTTCTGCCTCAGCCTCCTGAGCAGCTGGGACCACAGGTGTGTACCACCACACCCGGCTAAGTTTTGTATTTTTAGTGGAGACAGAGTTTCACCATGTTGGCCAGGCTGGTCTTGAACTCCTGACCTCAGGTAATGGATGAGGTCTTTGGAAGAGCAGCCAGATCTTCCAGAGTGCTGGGATTATAGGCGTGAGCCACTGTGCCCTGCCCCTCTGCTCATCTCATCTGTAAAATAGAGAAAAATGTTTACCTCCAGGGTTGCTGGGAACAAGAAAGCCTCAGGATCTGTAAAGCAGAACTGTGGCTGCTCCCAAACAAACACTCCTAGTGTATGCGCATTGAGTGGCTGGGTGGGGACAGGGCCCAACCCTCCAGCACCTTCTAAGCCAAGATAAAGGCTTGGATGAATTAGTTTTTATATGTGTTTTCCTCCCTTCTGTTTGTCTTTTGAATTTTACTGGGCTTATGTGAATATTAAAATTATTTCCCGAGAAGCCATCTAAGCCAGAATGCTCTAAGACATGGCTAGAGCTAGATAAAAGTGGGGAGAGGTACCCAGAATCTTTATCCCTTCCCCTCCCCATCCCCTCCCTTCCTCCAGCACAGAGCACAACCTCCAGCCCCTCCCTGCTAGAAATGGGATGGGGAGAAACGGTGCCAGCTGGACTTGAGAGAGGGAGAGTGGGGGGGAGAGAGGGAGGGAGGGAGGATGGATGGATGGATAGCCAGTCCTCACCTGTGGATTTCTGAGGTGCTCTGGAAGTCAGTTTTCCTCACCAGTAAAAAGGCATGAGATTACCCATGGAGCCATTGGGAGTACTCAGTACAGTTAGGTGCTTTGAGTAATTTTGCTACTTCAAAGCATTTTGTAAATGGTAGAACATGGTTCATGCTTGTTTCCAGAAAATCCAATAGAAAAAGTTTCCATCCATATCCCATGTGGGGAGGTGGTGGCACAGGGAAGCCCAAGGCCACCTTCCTCCGCTACTGCCCACCAGGTGACCTCAGCTGCTGGGTCAGCAACAGGCGCCTGTCCTTGGGGGCAGCACTTCCCATTTCTCCATGCCCCTTGTGAGATGAAGGGTGGGACAGTAGCTCTGTGTGGCCTTGGGTAACCTGCTTCAGCTCCCAGAGCCTCAGTTTATTGGTCTGTGAAACGGGACACTGATATGCCTTCAGAGGCTGTTGTGAGGACTGAGGGAGCTGGTGCTGGTTACGCACACAGTAGGCGTGCAATAAATCTTAGCTGCTATTCCTCTGAAGTGGGTAGGGTTGGGTGTGCAGGATGCAGATAGGCAGGCCTCCAGCTCCTCCCTGCTCCCTCAAGAGGTGGGAACGAGCGGGGTTCTAGTTCAGAGATTCTGTTCTGTGAAACCCCAGGCTCAAGCTGACCTGGGTAACTTTGGGACAGGAGCTGAAGAGACACAATAACAAAACTGCACTGTGGTGTGCTGTTCTGCATTTGTACCTTCCAGTTGCATTTCTTTACCTCGCCCACCGGCCCTCCCCCGATTGCTTTTCCCTCCATCACCAGGCACATCGTAGGTGCTCAAAGCATATTCGTTAAGAGTCAGTGGGTCAGAGTGCCCAGGGCAGATGCCTGTATTAGAAAGGCAGCCACAGCCTCTCCTGACCGGACTGTCAACCCTCCCAGGAAGAACCTAGAAGGTCAGTTCAACCTAAATAAGACCTCTATGTTCACACTGCATAGAAACACCTGGAAAACTCAGATTTCTCATCTGTAAAATGGGAGTAGTAATAGTGTCTACTTTCATGGAATTGCTATTGGGTAGGACTCTGTACATCAATCACTAACTGCTTTCTACCTGTCCGTCTCTGTATGGAGGGGGCTGTGCTAAGTGCTACTCGGCACTGGGGAGCAGCCCAGTGGGGTCTTGACTTTGTGGGACCTACAGCTTAAAGGAGCAGGGGTTGGATTTATGGTAGCCTTTTTTTTTTTTTTTTTTTTTTAAATGGAGTCCCACTCTGTTGCCCAGGCTGAAGTGTAGTGGAGCAATCTTGGCTCACTGCAACCTCCACCTCCCAGGTTCAAGCAATTCTCCTGTCTCAGCCTACTGAGTAGCTGGGATTACAGGTACATGCCACCACACCTGGCTAATGTTTTTGTATTTGTAGTAGATGCAGGGTTTCACCATATTGGTCAGGCTGGTCTCAAACTCCTGACCTCAGGTTATCCACCTGTGTCAGCCTCCCAAAGTGCTGGAATAACAGGCATGAACCACCACATCCAGGCTGTTAGCCATTCTTGCAACCCATGAAAGGGATGGCCTGAACACTTCATCCCAGATTCCCTCTGCTGAATGAACTGTGCTTATAAAATGACCCCCTCATGTTGAATAGTGTTTAAAGCAGTTGTCCATAGGTGGTCTTGATTAATCCTTCATTTAGTAGATTATCCCACTGTTTTGAAGATGAGGAAGTTTCACCTTGGTGAAAGGAAAGTATATCCTCAAGGTCAGCAAAGCCAGGTGGCCTGGACCTCTCCAGTGGGGTGTGGAACTTGGGCCTTAATCCTGGTGGACACAGAGTTTCCAAGAGGCTCTTCCCGCATGCCGGGGGTCCCAGGCTGGAGTCTGGAGGAGCCGGTGGTGCTGGCAGTGGTGGTGGTGGTCTGCACTGATGCTCCGGTCAGCACAGGGGGTGTTCTCTTGGAGTAAAATGCCAGCTCAGTGAGTTTCAATGTCCCCATCCAGGGTGGCTTCGACACTGTGGGTGGCCCCATCCTCTGGAAAGTGTTTCCCCAAGTGGCTGCCTGGTCCACCCAGACCTGCGACCTGGAGTCTCCACATGGAAGAGAATTTGAAACGTTCCAACAAGCACCTCACAGCACCTGCTTTGGGAACACTGCCGGGTGGGAGCCTCGGGGTCGGGGGAGTGGCAGCTCTGGAATGAATTAAAATCCCCGTCCATCCAGCCCTTCGAGGGCAGGTGGGGGTCCTGCGCGGCCGGCACCCAGAAACCCTGTCTGTGTCTGGTTGCAGGGAACATCGAGTACAGCTGCCCGGCCACCAATGAGTGTGAGATCACCAAACGGAGGCGCAAGTCCTGCCAGGCCTGCCGCTTCATGAAATGCCTCAAAGTGGGGATGCTGAAGGAAGGTAAGAGCCCCCACCAAGGGGGACTTTGCCAGGAGGCTCTGCTTGCTGGGGAGTTTCCATCCCCTGTGAGACAACCACAAGCTGTGGCCCTGTGTCCCAGTCGGCGCCTGTCTCCTCCCACAACCTGCCAGCCCACTTCCAGCCATGGCGCCCACATGGCTCTCCTCCTTTAGGGAGGTGGGAATTGGAATTTCTCCATTAAGGATCCTTCAGAACCCCTGACTCCACCTGGGCCCCAGACAGTTGGCCTGGCACTCTGGGAAGGCCCTCCTTTCGGGACAAACCCCCTCTCCACCCTAGGAGGGTGTTATATCCCCAGCACCCGTGAGGGGTTGGATGTGAAAAGGACACACACATTAAGGCCGGGAATGATAAATAATGTTCCCTTCACCTGTGGAGAACAGCATTTGTTTTCTGGTGGTGGACAGGACATGGCTCTCACTTTGGGAATGCTGCTCCCTTCCTTGTTCCCTCTCTTCTTATCCTCTCCCTTGCCTCTCCTTTATCTCCCTGTGTCCTCTGTCTCTAGAGCTGTGCTGTCTGCTATGACAGCCACAAGCCACACGTGACTCCCGAGCACTAGTCCAAACTGAGAGGTGTGCCGAGTGTAAAACACACAACCTGCTCTAGAGACTTAATAGGACCATAAAAAGCAGTGCAAAGTCTGGTGGTGATAATTTTAAAAACTTGATTGTGGCTGGATGTGGTGCCTGACGCCTGTCATCCCAGCACTCTGGGAGGCCGAGGTGGGTGGATCATCTGAGGTCGGGAGTTCGAGATCAGCCTGACCAACATGGAGAAACCCCATCTCTACTAAAAATTCAAAATTAGCTGGGCGTGGTGGCACATGCCTGTAATCCCAGCTACTCAGGAGGCTGAGGCAGGAGAATCACTTGAACCTGGGAGGCAGAGGTTGCTGTGAGCCGAGATCGCGCCATTGCACTCCAGCCTGGGCAATGAGTGAAATTCTGTCTCAAAGAAAAAAACAAACAAACAAACAAAAAACGTGACTGCATGCAGAAAGGCTAATCTGGACACGTTGAATTAAATAAAACATTGTGAAATTAGCATCACATGCTTCTTTTTATCTTGTTTAATGTGGCTACTAGAAAATTTGAAATGACACATGGCTCTCATTATTGGGACAACTGCTCCAGGTCTCCTCCTCTTCCTTCTCTATTGATTTACTCCATTTTTTAATATTAAAATATTATTAATAGAGACAAAGTCTTGCTATGTTGCTCAGGTTGGTCTCAAACTTCTAGGTTCAGGCAGTCCTGCACCTCAGCCTCCTAAAGTGCTGGGATTACAGATGCATACCACCACAACTCAGCTAACTTTTTGTATTTTTAGTAGAGACGGGGTTTCACTATGTTGGCCAGACTGGTCTTGAACTCCTGGCCTCGTGATCTACCTGCCTCGGCCTCTGAAAGTGCTGGGATTACAGGCATGAACCATCGCACCCAGCCTGACGTATTATTCTGACATCCAGAGAGGAAGCTGGATGTGAGAACAGCAGGTCAAATAGGGGGCCAGGGGCCACTTGGTTGCAGCATGCAGCCTCCTCCCTGCCTACTTGACAGCATTTGGGGCACTTAGAGCAGCCAGAAGCCTTATTGTTTTCCATATAGCCCGGAATTTCACAGGTGACAAAATGTGGCCCTGCAGGAGTTGGGGTGAGATAACTCCCACCCTCAGTCACACATTGATTTGAGGGAAGCTGGGCCCAGAGGCTGGAATCTCCCTTGCCCTGTTCAGTGTCTGCTCCCCATGGCACAGGACAGGGATGGGAGAGGGCGAGAGGGGACCCCTGCTCAATTCCTGGACCATCTTGTAAACACTGAATAGAGTCTCTTGATGGCCTATGCAGTGCTTGGAAGACAGGAGGGCACTTTCTAGTGGCTTCCCAGAAAGCAGGGGATGCTGAGGAGGTGCACTGATGGCAGGGAAGGAGGTGGCCGGGCCCACAGTTGACTGGTGGCTACTCAGATATCCAGACTTGCACTTGTCAAAGAACCAAGGTAGAGGCTGTGTGCCCCAGGATCATGGTATGGGGGTGCTGGGAGGACAGGGGCATGAGACCCCGACTGCCTCAAGTGGGGAGGACGTGCATGGGGAGCCCTGGTGTTGACACTCTGCCCCCCTCCCCCACTGCAAATAGCCCTTTGGTTGATGGCCTTTACCTAGGGTGGCAGCTGGGGCCCCCCAGGCAGATATGCTGAGCCTGAAAGGGCCCTTTAAGGAGCTCTGCCTGAAGGGGGAAGGGACAGCCGCTGGAATGCTTCCTCCCCTGCTCCCCACCAGTGCTGGCAGGTCCAGATCCAAGAGTGGGGAGATGACACAAAGGCTCCCAAGTGTGGACAAAGCAGAGAGCCTTGGTTAGTTTCTGTCCCCCTGCAGGGCCTTGGCAAGATCCTGGGATCTGAAGCTCCGGGGGGACCCACCCCCTCAGGAGGAGCACGCCTCCTTCAATAGCCTGGGCTCCTGCCAGGCAAGGGGGCTCTTGGCAGCCCTCCGGCTCGGCTTTTGTTTGGGTATCCCTCCTGGCTCTGCAGGCAAGGCCCCCCCACCCAGACCAGCGTGGGCTCCTCGCCCACCTCAGACTGATTCTAAAAGGCAAACTTCACCTTCCCCAGGCTGCTCCTCTGTTGTAGGGTCCCTCTGTGGGCCTCTGTTGCTGGTGGAGGGGTGGCGGGGCACCAGGGGCTTGGAGGGAGAGATGTGGGTGCCTCCGCCCTCTCCGCTCCCCTCGCCTGTACATCTGAACACCACCTTCCCCCTCTGTCCAGACACACTCTCCTTGTGTTTTACGATTTTTCCTTACTTAGGTAAAATAATCAGAGATTGTTTCCCAATTTGGGGGCCCAGCAACAGCCACAGAAGAGATCAGACTTGGGGCTTCCTCTGGGTCTCCCTCTCCCTTAAGGCTGCAGCCAGCTCAGGGATCTAAGCTTTTTAGATTCCTCACATGGTTGGGGACAGAGCCCATGGCCACCTCCCTGTGCCTTTCTCCTGGGGACATCCAGAGCAGACCATAACAAGCAGGAGATGTCCAAAGGCTTATCGCGCTTTAAGCAAACCCAGTATATAAAAATCTGTATTTTCAGAGAAAAAAGTAATTTTTCTCTTTTAAAAATTGAATACAAAATCTGGATTAGGCGTTGGTGGCCTGTGTTCTGCCCCTGGTTGTTAGATATTTTTGCTGCGTAATTTTATTCCTCACACCCACATGCTTCCATTTCTTCACTGTAAAGCAGGGATGTGGATACCTGCTCTCCATCACCAGGTAAAAGTGGGGATCTGGGACAGATGGGACAGCTCCTCTTGGCAGAATCCACTGTGGGATTGCTTTGCAATGACAGCTCCCTGGGTGCATTAAAATACTCTATAGTGTTTGATTCAGGCTGGGCACAGTGGCTCATGCCTGTAATTCCAGCACTTGGGGAGGCCAAGATGGGCAGATCACCTGAGGTCAGGAGTTCAAGACCAGCCTGGCCAGCATGGCAAAACCCCATCTCTACTAAAAATACAAAAACTAGCTGGGCATGGTGGCACAAGAATGTAATCCCAGCTACTCGGGAGACTGAGGCAGGAGCATTACTTGAACCCGGGAAGCAGAGGTTGCATTGAGCTGAGAGTACACCACTGCACTCCAGCCTTGGCAACAAAGCAAGACTCTGTCTCAAAAAAAAAAAAAAATTATGGTGTTTGATTCAAAGACACCCTCATTTACACTTAGCTTTTCATCAGTCTGCCCCTTGAGTTTAGGGAGGCAGACTAGCTTCTGGCCACCCTAATTTTCTTCCTGGATTTGTTGGTGGGAATCTTAAAAGTCAGCCTTGTCTTGGGCTGGTCCCCACTGTGGGTTCTAGAATTAGGATGGGCGGTTCCTCTGGTAGTCAGCCTTTGCCGCCTGCTGAGGGCATGGACTGACTCTGCCACTAATCCAGAAGAGCCCTGGAAAACCACTTGCTGCATCTCCTAGGGTGCTCCCCAAGTCCTCAGTACAGCTCTGGGATTTCAGCAATTCTCTCTAGACAGCCTGTCCCTCCCAGCTTCACCTCCTCCTCACCTCACCTCACTCCCTCGTGCCACCAGCCTCCCAAGCCCGCTCCATTTCTCCTCTGCTCAGCCCCTGCCTGCCTTTCCCCAAGTGCTTTCTAAAAGATATTTGATTTCAGTGAAAGCTGGGCTGACATCCATGCAATATGCTCTCACTTGCTTTGTGCTTGTTGGGAAGGTGGAGGGCTCCTCCAGGGATTCTGGGTAATTGCGTTAGTGGCCAGCTCATGTCAGGAAATTAAAAGGAGGCCCTGATCATGTTCCCACTGCATAGGATGTAATGGCCTTGTATTTATAGAGTATTTTGCCTCTAGCCCATGCCAGAAATACCACCTTTCTGTCTCTGTGAATGAAGAAAGAGAATGAGAGATGATTTGCCTTTAAACATTCTTTTTCTTTTCCAAAATATATTAGCGTTGTGAAACAAACCAACTCTCTACCACTTTATTTATTTATTTATTTTCCCTGAGACGGAGTCTTGCTCTGTCACTCAGGTGACAGTGCAGTGGTGTGGGCTCAGCTCACTGCAATTTCTGCCTCCCGGTTTCAAGCAATTCTCCTGCCTTAGCCTCCTGAGTAGCTGGGATTACAAGCATGTGCCACCACGCCCAGCTAATTTTTTTTTTGTATTTTTGGTGGAGGACTTCATTCCTATAGTATCTTCCCTGCTTTCAACATCATCGAATTCTCCCTCACGACTGGATCATTTTCATTAGCACACATAATGGGAGAAGTATTTCTGTTCTCCCATTATGAAAACAAAATTAAATCATTTTTAACTTTTTTCTTTTCTTTTCTTTTTTTATTTTTTATTTTGAGATGGTCTCACTCTGTCACCCAGGCTGGAGTGCAGTGGCATGATCTCAGCTCACTGCAACCTCCGCCACCCGGGTTCAAGTGATTTTCCTGCCTCAGCCTCCTGAGTAGCTGGGCTTACA